ATGATCCACCACTTGATTATCGTATTTTAAATTCCATTTTACTCGCATTAATATGGTGTATTAATTTGCAGTTTGTTGAAATGAATAGCCAAAAACCTGAAAGATTTAACTCATTCTAAATGTTAAAATTAGCATATTATATTAAATTAACTTTAGAGGGTATGGTTTTTCTACAATTAGCTTATTATACGAGACATTTCCGGGAGACAGAGTTCATACCGTCTTAATCACCATGGTTTCTATTGCTCAACATTCACACACCACCACCCCTGCCCACACCATAGTATCCCAGCTTCTAAAAATTCCCTAAGCAGGAGAATTATTTCACAATTTTTTGAAAAAAATCTTGCGTACCAATCTGTTAGGAAAATCACAGAAAGGAAGGAAGGAAGTCTGATTGCATCAGTGTTGAGCTCTTGTAATGAGAAATGTAAGTAATTCTTTAAAATATATAGTACTAGCCATCCCCTGCCATGCATTGCTGTGGCCCAGTCTGTGTATATATGTGTATATATATATATTTGTGTATATGTGTATATATGTGGTTATGCACATACATTGTAATGTATTTTTTTTAATTGGCTTTTGAAGTCTCTTCTGCTATGTTTTCCAGTGTTTTTATGAGTGATGGTCACTTGTTGGCCGGATAGGTGTATTGTGTCCAAATTTGGTGCCAATTCCTCCAGTGGTTTTTGAGATGTGTTAATCCCACATATGAACATTACATTTTTATTTATATAAGACTCTAAACTCGTCAGGTATATCCCAGTGCTTAGAAAAGTTTGTGATTTTTTAAGACACTGGCATGGTCAATGTGTCAACATGGGAGTTGTACTTTTAAAAGTAACTTTTATGAGCTCTGATATACCCATGATCCCTGCTGTGCAGGGGAAAAATAGCTTTATAGTCCTAAAATATCTGAGCACATGATCAAGAATTTATTTATTATTTTTTTTACTCTATTTATATGCCGCCTTTCTAAGGGGACTTAAAGCGGCCCCTTTTTACACTATCATCATAATGCAACTTTAACTGCATTATATGACTAGTGTAAAATTTATTTATTTATTTATTTACAGTATTTATATTCTGACCTTCTCACCCTGAAGTGGACTCAGGGTGGATCACAACGCACACATACACGGCAAACATTCAATGCCATTTTTAGACATACAAAACTGACAGACAGATAGAGGTATTTTGGCATTTCCAACTTTGGCGCCTGGAGGTTATGCTCTATTCCGGCCACAGGGAGTTGTTATTGCTTCATTACCGGCATTTTTATGGTGTCGTAAAATACCTCCCTGCTTTAAGCGGTGCCTAATTTCTCTACTCACAGCTCAGCTATTCAATCTGCATTATAATGGCAGTGTAGATGGAGCTTAAGACTGGATCTACACTGCCATATAATCCACATTATCAAAGCAGATAATCCACATTATCTACTTTGAACTGGATTATATGAGTCTACACTGCCATATAATCCAGTTCAAAGCAGATAATACGGATTGTATATTGCTGTGTCTCTTATGTCATTTTGGTCTCAAATCTTTTGAGACATATTAGTGAAATTGTAATAGCCATGCAACTTTGGCTGATGGAATCGACACTTTCTGTTTCAACTGGACAGATCTTAAGAAATATATTAGCCACTTTAACTGCTGACCCAGCACCTCGCTTGATTCCTGGTTTTTTAGAAATAGTTTTTGGCCCTCCATCCACACCCACTTGATACTTCCTCTGTACAGGCAAAAACAGGAACGCTGCACAAAGAAAACATTTCACTTAATGTTTGTTGAACAATGAAATCCCTTTTCTGGTTTTGTAAAATAGAGAACACAACTCCAAGAATGTATGGTACTATGTGAATAACAACATACAATTCAGTTTATAAAACGAGTCTTAACCCTCATGAGTCTTTGCCGCTCTGTTTTAACTGAGCTGGCTTTACATCTTTGCTGATGTTCTTTGGCTTGTTTAAAGTTGGTACATTTCTGTTCTCCATTTTTGGATGGAGAACAGAAGAGCATTTATTCACAGTTCCAGCTCGATAGCGTTTCTCAGCCTCAAAGAAATCCCGTTGACTTTGCCTGACATATAAGGGAAACTTTACCACAGGAAATACTTGTAAAAAGCCACTGCACAGCTAAGCACGCTTAAGCCCATTGATTTCAATAGACTTAAGAATATTTATGTCACTGTTGGAGTTGTGAATCAATAATGCTCTTCTGTTCTTCATCCAAAACTTTTAAAACATGTCAGAAAATATCGGCAAAGACTTGGCCAGTGGGAACACTTCAGAAATTAGGGGACCATTTCTACCTTGGGACCAAATTCAATAGTGCTGTGATTTTAGAGGATCTTTGTTATATGTTCCTCTTAGATTAATTATTGCCTCTGTTTGAGCATTCCATTCACTTACAACTCATAGAATCAGAGTTGGAAGGGACCACAGGGCCATCTAGTCCAACCTTATTTATTTATTTACTTCATTAGATCGTTGTCGGTTTTTCGGGCTATATGGCCATTATCTAGAAGCATTCCCTCATGACGTTTCGCCTGCATCTATGGCAGAGGTCACAACCTCTGACCTCACAACCTCTGAAGATGCTTGCCATAGATGCAGGCAAAACATCAGGAGAGAATGCTTCTGGAACATGGCCATACAGCCCGAAAAACTATAACAACCCAGTGATTCCGGCCACGAAAGCCTTTGACAATATATTTACTTCATTTCTACCCTGCCTTCTTCATCCAGACTCAAGGCGGCTTAGAATTCCAGAATAAATTCAATGCCAATTGGTAAAAACCAATAAAAATTAAACAGTTAAAAGCGATTAACATTAAGCAATACAATATATATCAGTATACAAAATTTTAAAAACCTATAAAGTGCAGAGATCCATTCGTCCATAACCCTGCTCATAATCCTTAATCCAGACCATGTCGAAACCATAGAAACTTATTCTTTGAATGCTTGTGTGCAGAGCCATGTCTTCAGCTTTTTCCTAAAACACAGAAGGGATGGGGCCTACCAGATGTCACTGGGGGGGGGGTCCACAGCCTAGGGACCACCACAGAGAAGGCCTTGTCTCTCATCCCAGCCAATTGCGCTTGTGATGAGGGTGGGATCGAGAGCAGGGCCTCCGCAGAAGATCTGCCATACAGGAACATGCAGTGAAAACTCCAGTGATATGAAGGGAAAAGTTGAAACTCTGGTCATTGTTATTCTGCTCTGAGTCTTTCTTTGCAGCCTGGGTCCTCTACCTTTCATGATGAAGCTTGGGAGATGACCTGTATTGGAGAGGGAAAAATGTAGCCCTGGGGTTGTATATACGCACACAACACGAAGGCACATTGACATTGATAATGCAGTGATCACACTATGATTCCATTTTAATTGCCATGTTCAGTTCTGTAGAATCCCAAGGTTTTAAGAATAATAATAATAATCATCATCATCTTTATTTATATTCCACCCTATCTCCCCAAGGGGACTCAGGGTAGATTACAGTAATATATACAATAAACATTCAATGGTGTTATACAATTAACAAAGACAGACAGTATATAATCAGAGGTAAATGCTTCCTATCTTTTTCCATCTCTGGCATCTGGAGGTTGTGCTTGAATCCGGTCACAGGAGGGTGCTGTCGCTCCATTTTCCATGCCAAGGAGCTTTGTTGTCTTTAGATGCTCTCCTGAATTGTAGGCATTTCAGTATGGGCGCCTTTAATTACCTCCCCGCCAAATTTATCTACTCACATTACTGTTTTTGTTTATGTGTACGTATGACCTCCTTATCCATGGATGAGATAACCACAGTTTCACTTACCCAGGCTCAACAAAAAGTATCTTTGCCCCCCGCCCCACTTCCCCTGGGCATTTGAGAGCCTCTCTGGGTTATTTCAGTGTGATCATATTGTATGTTTCCAGCTATTCAAAATATAAACTTCACTATTGTCAGAGTTTCAGTTATCTTTTGGGCGGGGGGCGGGGGGCAGGGTCTTCTACACAACTATTAAAGATAGCAATTGCCAGTTTTCAACTCTGGCAATCCTAATTGTCCAAGGTGGTGATAAACTGAATGGAAAAACTTACAGTTGTATGGTAGGGATCCCACACACCATACCTTGCCTCATTATTTGCAAAACAGTAGGGCCAGGCTAAGCAGAGTTGACTCGAAGGTCTTCCTTCTGACTCAGAAGCAATCAACCTCATACCCTCCAGCCTTTCACTTGTAAAAACTGCAATAAATGTGTTGGACTGCAACTGAATGGAGTCAAAAGGGCAACAAGAGACAAAAAATATTAACGAGCAAGAACAAACAAAACTATTATTTTCATCCAAGGAATCCTGGAATGTATGTACATGTTTAGGAAGAGCAAACATCTTCCTCTTTCTGAGTAAACTGGGTGTAAACTAGTTTGTACTTTGATTCATTTTGCAGCAATTGAAATAAACCAAGGACAAAGGAGGAGAGAAGAAGAAACAGGACATTTTCAAGGCAGCTGCAAAAATGGGACCACAGAGGATTAAGTAGAGCTGTCCCTGTCAAATTGGGACATTTGGAGAATATGCAACCGAATGGTCTCCAAAATATAGTCAGAACTCCCTGCTAGCATGCGATAGAAGGCAGTTCCAGGAGTCAAGGCCCCAAATAAGTACCATTTCTATGCTCTGTTCTTAAATTCCTTTCATAGCATAATTTCACCCAAGGAGATTTTCTTTTTCTTTTTGCAATAACAGAGCCACCAGGGCCACCTTGACAGCTGTTCTGCTGCCAAATCAATTTGCACATTTACATCCTCATCAATCCTACCCTATTTCTGATATGTGTTTTGGCAACTATGCAAAGCCAGCTGCTTCCAAAAGGCTCCGACAAGGGCTGGTTCATGCATGGATCTGGCACGTGGTTGTATATAGGGAGGTGCATCTTGGGACTCAATGTGGCTTTCCAATTCTTGCACAGGTTTAAATGATCTCTGTTCTTATTTCAGGAAAGCCTCATGGGGCAGATGACTTCCTTCCGGTGCTCATGTATGTTCTGGCCCGCAGTGACCTGACGGAAGTGCTTCTGAATGTAGAGTATATGATGGAGCTCATGGACCCTGCTCTACAGCTGGGAGAAGGTATGGGAAAGAATGGATACGTTGCTGTAGCCAAGGGAAAGCAGAATGATGTTGATGTTTGTTTATTTCCTTATTTAATATCTCAGCTTTCTCCCAATATGGGTCTCAATATTAGCTAAAACAGACAGTTCAAACTTTTTCATGGAAATTAAAGAGGATACTAAAACTCTAAGGGTTAACTGGACCCATTACCAAAATGTACTTTAATGGTTGTTAACATACACATACACACACATTTCTTTCTTTCTTCCTTCCTTCCTTTCTTTCTGGGAGCATGATTATGGTTTCTGTTTAGCATTTTTAGTGCCTGTTGCTCCCGAGGGTACTATTGTGCGCGTGTGGTGATTTGCATTATGGCCTTGGGCCCATACAATAAACTATTTTGATGAATATTATGATGAACACACAGTTTAGACATTCAGGGAAATTAAATAGGTACTGCTCCGGCAGGAAGATAATGGCGCTCCATGCAGTCATGCTGGCCACTTGATCTTGGAGGTGTCTATGGACAACGCCAGCTCTTCAGCTTAGTAATGGAGATGAGAATGAATCCACAGAGTCGGACATGACTGGACTTAATCTTGACCTTTACCTTAAAGAGGATACTATTGGTAGTAATAGATACATTCAGGCTGTTCCAGTGGTAGATAGTGGCGACAAGGTGTAAATTCATTTAGGATGTTAGTCTGAACTTTAAAAGACCCAAAGTACTGAGCCCCCAACTATGTTTGGTATTTTGGAAAACTCTTTAAAGTTCAGGTAAAACCTGGAGTGGATTCCCCATACTCATGAGGAGGGTCCACCAGCCTCCAGTGGGTTATCATGAACCTATTTTCATGTTTAAACATGCAGAATAATCACAGGATGTCTCAAACCTACACCTGTTGATAAAGCTAGATGGCATTGCCCCCCCCCAATGTATGACAGGAAGCTGCTGCTAATGTGAGAGAAATAAGGTTGAACACTGAAAGCCACCACTGCATGGCTATCAGCCTCCTCCCAGTAGACTCAAATCAGGGAGAAAAGCTTATGAGAACCACCACTCCTCTTAATGTTTCCACAGCAATAGCAAGAGCATCCCTTTGGGCAGCTAAATCCCAATTGGATTGCCCCCCTCGAGGGTCTTCCTCCAGGGGCAAACCAAGAATGGGCAACTTAGAAGTCCCTGAACAGACTCAGAAGTGGAGTGGGCAGATCAAAAGACAACCTGGCAAAATGGCACTACCTAGAAGAATCCTCCACCTTGTACAACTGTGGAGCAGAACAAACAACTCTGCAACTGTATGTTTGCCCACAATGCCCTGCTTCATGCACAGAGAAAGAATTGTTCAAAGCTACAGACAATATGGTTGCTGTTGCCTGTTTTTGGTCAAAAATCATTTAGCCACGTGTGCTCCCTCTATTTTATCAGTTTTCATACTTATTTATGCAATGTCTTGGAGCCCCTGGTGGGTTAAACCGGTGAACTGCTGAATTTGCTGGCCAAAAGGTCACCGTGTCAAACCTAGGGAGTGGGGTGAGCTCCTGCTGTTAGCCTGCAATGTCTTGGAGCCCCTGGTGGGTTAAACCGGTGAACTGCTGAATTTGCTGGCCAAAAGGTCACCGTGTCAAACCCAGGGAGTGGGGTGAGCTCCCGCTGTTAGCCCCAGCTTCTGCCAACCTAGCAGTTCGAAAAACATGCAAATGTGAGTAGATCAATAGGTACCGCTCCGGCGGGAAGGTAATGGTGCTCCATGCAGTCATGCTGGGCACATGACCTTGGAGGTGTCTATGGATAATGCCGGCTCTTTAGCTTAGAAATGGAGATGAGCATCAACGCTCAGAGTCAGACACAACTAGATTTAATATCAGGGGAAAACCTTTACATTTGACATGAAATACAGTAAATACATCTATTTTCATGCAGTTTTATCTCAACTTCTTATCTGATGAAGTGATTCTAGAACTTGAAAACTCTGTCTATTTTGGGACAACACTTTTCCAGAAACACCTTTCCTCCAATCAGATGGCTGGAACAGGGAGGAGTTTTGGAAAGTAAATTTTGCTTGTAATTTCAAAGGTGTGGAAGGCAATTACCAGATTTCTCTCTCCAGCAGATATTTAGGGCCCGCTGTATTCTCAGTGAAGCTCCAGTGGGTTACCATAAATAACACCTAAGGTGCCTTCCAGCACTAAAACCTGTGAGTTCTAAGCAGCACAGTGAGGTTCCATTGAATACAATATATATTCCACTTGGGACTGGCTAGATCTAAGACTGCATCAAGTACCTTCACACCAGAAATATCACAACAGTACTAAAAATAAGGGCTCATTTCATTTTTCCCAATTTTTCTTATTTTTTGTATTGTTACAGTCCTTGCCCCTGGTTTGTTTTTCCTCCACCTGGGTCCTTAAACACCTGCTTGTCCCCTTGCATCTAGTGGACATATTTTAATGACTGCACACCAATAAAACTGGCTGTTTCTTTGAATTATGGGCCCCAGGAGTTTCCCAAGGTACTTGCGCAAACAAGCAGGCTTCTTTGGTAATGCTGCTACCTAGGCAATAAATACCTAGTGATGGCCCAAAGGGAAGCAGAATTGCATGCTTTCCCCTCCAGAATCAGGTCAAAGAAATATTATTACAGCATAGTCTTTTTTTCTTTTAGCCATTTACATCAAATGCATGAAGTGTAATCCACTATTTTTTATTTTTATTTATCGTGTCAGGAGCAAACCAAACAGTTGTATTGCATTTTTTAAACAAACAAACAGATCCTTCTCGGTAGGTATACATTTGTGTGTGCGTTCAGAGTTTGTTGTTCTTAACTGTCCTCAAGTCTGTTTCAATGCATGGTGATCCTATATAAGAGAAATCTCCAAGTCATCCTGTTATCAACAGTCCCAAGGTAAAGGTAAAGGTTTTGCTCTGACATTAAGTCCAGTTGTGTCCAACTCTGGGGGTTGGTGCTCATCTCCATTTCTAAGCTGAAGAACTGGCGTTATCCATAGACGCCTCCGAAAGCATGTGGCCAGCATGACTGCATGGAGTGCTGTTACCTTCCCGCCTGAGTGGTACCTATTGATCTACTCACATTTGCATGTTTTTGAACTGCTAGGTTGGCAGAAGCTGGGGCTAACAGCGGGAGCTCACCCCACTCCCTGATTTGAACTGGCAACATTTCAGTCAGCAAGTTCAGCACCTCAGTGGTTCAACCCACTGCGTCACTGGGGGCTCCTACTCACTGATATTAACAGCATTGCAGATCCAAGACAAATTGACTTGTGATAGGATCTTCCTTTTTTTCCTGCTACTTCCCACTTTATCAAGCATTGCCATTATTTTCCAGTGAGCCATGTCATCTGAGGATATATTCAAAGTATAACAGCCTCAGTTTAGTCATCTTGGCTTCTAGGGAAAGTTCGGTTTTCATTTGTTTTCAGATCTATGTTTCAGTTTCAGTTCTCAGATCTGTGTTTCATTGCTTCCAGGCATTGAATGTTTGCCTTTGTGTCTGCATATGCTGGAATCTGCCTAGAGTCCTCTTGGAGCGATAGGATGGAATACAAATAAAATATATTATTATTGGAGTCCCTGGTGGCGCAATGGGTTAAACCACTGAGCTGCTGAAAATGCTTACTGGGGGGCGGGTTGAGCTCCCACTGTTAGTCCCAGCTTCTGCCAACCTAGCAGTTCGAAATGTGAGTAGATCTGAAGAACAAGCTCTATGAGTAGCGGCTTAAAGAGCTGGGCATGTTTAGCCTGAAGAAGGGAAGTCTGAGAGGAGACGTGATAGCCATGTATAAATACATGAGAGGAAGTCATAGGGAGGAGGGAGCAAGCTTGTTTTCTGCTGCCCTGGAGACTAGGATGCAGAAAAATGGCTTCAAACTACAAGAAAAGAGATTCCATCTGAACATTAGGAAGAACTTCCTGACTGTGAGAGCCGTTCAGCAGTGGAACTCTCTGCCCTGAGTGTGGTGGAGGCTCCTTCTTTGGAAGCTTTTAAACAGAGGCTGGATGGCCATCTGTCAGGGGTGCTTTGAATGCAATTCCTGCTTCTTGGCAGGGGGTTGGACTGGATGGCCCATGAGGTCTCTTCCAACTCTATGATTCTTATTATTATTATTATTATTATTATTATTATTATTATTATTATTTTGCCGTCCATGGTATGCGTATAATTCTCCCCCAGCAGCACATTTCAAATGATTTGATTATCTTCCTATCAGCTTTCTTTTTTGTCCAGCTTTCATAGAATTCACAGTTGTACTGGAGCCCTTGGTGGTCCAGTGGGTTACCCACTTGTGTTGGTAGAACCGCTGACCAAAAGGTCGTCGGTTCAAATCCGGGGAGCAGGGAGAGCTCCCATCTCTCAGCTCCAGCATCCCATGCGTGGACCTGAGAGAAGCCTCCCACAGGATTGTAAAACATCTGGGCTTCCCCTGGGCAACATCCTTGCAGACAGTCAATTTTCTCACACCAGAAACAACTTGCAGTTTCTCAAGTTGTTCCTGACATGAAAAAAAAGTTGTACTGTACATAGCAGTTGGAAATGCAACACAATTCTGTCTTCACTACTCATCTTTACACATGAAGATCTTTTCTTATAACTGTGAACAACAGCGGTGTTAAAGGTGGTGGCATGCAAACGGTGTAGTTTATGACCTATTATGTGGAGGTTACTGTTTTCACCTTCCTTCTTTTGCAGTCTCATTTGTTACAGTTATATCTCACCTTTCTGCCACAAAAACAGATTTGCATGAAAATGTCAAGACGGCACTCTTTTTATTTCCTGGCTTTTTGACCTCGCCCTTCATTATTTCCTTTCTCTCAACCTGTGTCTGTAGGGATGCATGTGTTGTGTGTGCAGGCTTATGCTACCAACTGATGATGATTCTCCATGCATTTGATAGCATTCAGTGCAATTTGCAAACATTCTTAGCAAAGTAGTGGCATAATTGTATTCATGTCTACTTCCAATGGTTTCAGAAGGGCTTCCTCCTCAGTAAGCAGGAATGGGATTGCTGCCTTGATCTGTTTGCCCTATAATATTTCCCATGAGAAATTGTGTAGCTTTCTCTAAGCACAGGAGAGTTCATTTCCCAATCTAGCATTATCAGAGATAGCAATCACAATAGAGATCCATCATGATCTATTGTTTTGTTCAGCTGCAGGTGCAATTCATTCATCAATTGATTAATTTAAGTTATTAATTTAATCAGCTCAATGACATCCACAATTAATTAACTATTAATGACTTTCTAGAAAAAAATGTAATTCAAGAAAGATGTGTTTTGCATTCTCCTAACAGGACTCTAGAGGCTTTGGAAGATTTTTATACCATTTCTTTTTGGGGTCTGTCAATCCCAGTCCTTCTTGCGTATTTGCCATATGAACTTTCTTATGTGTTGTTGAAGGCTTTCATGGCTGGAATTACTGGGTTGTTGTGAGTTTTCCGGACTGTATGGCATTCTCTCCTGACATTTTGCCCACATCTATGGCAGGCATCCTCAGAGGTTGTGAGGTCTGTTGGAAACTAGGCAAGTGAGGTGTGTATATCTGTGGAATGGCCAGGGTGGGAGAAAGAGAAAGGTGTGAATGTTGCAATTAGTCACCTTGATTAGCATTGAATGGACTTGCACCTTCAAAGCCTGGCTGCTTCCTGCCTGGGGAAATCTTTAGTTGGGAGGTGTTAGCTGGCCATGATTGTTTCCTGTCTGGAATTCCCCTGTTTTTTGAGTGTTGCTCTTTATTTGCTGTCCTGATTTTAGAGGTTTTTTAAAATACTGGTAGCCAGATTTTGTTCATTTTCATGGTTTCCTCCTTTTTTCTGAAATTGTCCACATGCTTCTGTATTTCAATGGCTTCTCTGTGTAGTTTAACATGGTAGTTGTTAAAGTGGTCCAGGAAGCAGCCAGGCTTTGAAGCTGCAAGGCCATTCAATGCTAATCAAGGTGGCCAATTGCAACATTCACACTTGCCTCAAGCAGACAAGAGTTCTTTCTCCCACCCTGGAGATCATTCCACAGATATATAAACCCAATTTTCCTAGTTCCCAACAGACCTCACAACCTCTGAGAATGCCTGCCATAGATGTGGGTGAAATGTCAGGAGAGAATGCTTCTGGAACATGGCCATACAGCTTAGAAAACTCACAGCAACCCAGTGAACGTACATAGTTTTTTTTAAGTGTTGATTTTAATTATGGTACTTTTAAATAATTCTGTTGTATTTCTCTTAAACAATAATATTTACTGATAGTTAGCCATGTGCATTAAATAAATGTAATATGTTCAGTTATGTATGTTTACAAGCTATATATTTAAGGAGTCATTCCCAGACCTGCATGAATCTAACCATGAATTAGATACGATTCTGCTCTACCTATGAAACTAGTTCAGGCATCGGCAAACTTTGGCCCTCTGGGTGTTTTGGACTTCAACTCCCACAATTCCTAACAGCCTCAGGCCCTCTCCTTTTCCCCTCACCCGCTTAAGCGGCTGAGCGGGGAAAGGAAGGGACCTGAGGCTGTTAGGAATTGTGGGAGTTGAAGTCCAAAACACCAGGAGGACCAAAGTTTACCAATGCCTGAACTAGTGCAATGTATTTAGAGATTGTTGAGAAGTATCTGTAGAAGACATGCTGGAAAGATTTTTGCACTTGTTGAATTAGACAGGGTTGGATGGAACCAAATGTAAAGTGCTAACTAGCTTCAATTACATTGTACAGTGCAGCAATGAGTATATAATAATGCACATGTGCCATCTGCTGACCACTTCCATTTACTGCAATACAGATCGTAGCTCTGAGTGCTCTTCAGCCATTCCTTCTCTGCTGGAAGTATTAAGTGTTGATGAAGTCACTTCCATCAAAGAACACAGAGGGGGTTTGCCCTTAGACTTCCTCTGTAGCTGAGAAAGTGTGACTTCATCAAGGTCAACCAGTGAGTTTCCATGGTTGAGCAGGACTTCCGATCCTATTCTCTTGAGCCTTCGTCCGACACTGAGACCACTGTACGCAATACTGGCCCCAAAAAGCAGAAAACCAAGCCAGTTCATAAATGTGTTGTCAAAATCTTTCATGGCCGGAATCACTGGGTTGCTGTGAGTTTTCTCGGTTGCACGACCATGTTCAACATCTTTAAAAAGTTTTATTTCAGATCATTACTCAAAGTAAACTTTAAACTCTTTATATTGTCGAAGGCTTTCATGGCTGGAATCACTAGGTTCTTGTAGGTTTTTTCGGGCTATAGGAACATGTTCTAGAGGCATTTCTCCTGACGTTTTGCCTGCATCTATGGCAAGCATCCTCAGAAGTAGTGAGGTCTGACCACAACCTCTGAGAATGCCTGCCATAGATGCAGGTGAAACGTCAGGAGAGAATGCTTCTAGAACATGGCCATATAGCCCAAAAAACCTACAACAACCCAGAACAAAATCTGGCTATCAGTATTCAAAAAAATCTAAAATTAGGACAATAAATAAAGAGAAACACTCAAAAAAACCAAGAGATTTCCAGACAGGAAACAATAAGGGCCAGCTAACACCTCCCAAACAAGGATTCCCCAGGCAGGCTTTGAAGCTGCAAGGCCTTGGAGGGACACAGCAACAATTCTAAAAGATGCAACAAGGAGACAGATATTCTGTGAGATGTGACATGTTAAAAGAGTGATGAACGCACAGTTAATGCTTCTTGATTTTCCATAGGGTCTTATTATTTAATCACTACTTATGGAGCAGTGGAGCTTATCAAGAGCTATGATAAGATCACAGTCACCCGGCAGCTAAGCACCGAGGTTCAAGATTCGATCCACCGGTGGGAGAGACGGAGAACGCTTAACAAAGCCCGGGCATCCCGATCCTCTGTTCAGGTTAGAAGATGAATGGAGCATTCTCTTTCAACATTGTTATTTGTTTTCTAGGTTTAGTTAAAAGAATTCTGTATTTCCCCCTACACCAGTGGTTCTCAACCTGTGGGTTCCCAGATGTTTTGGCCTTCAACTCCCAGAAATCCTAACAGGTAGTAACATTTAGAATACCATTATTCAGTGTATAGAATCCTGGGATTAGTAGTTTGGGAAGGCACCAGCTGTCTTTGGCAGAGAAGGCTAAACAGCTCATAGAACTACAACTTCTACAATACCATAGCATTAAGCCAGGGCAATTAAAGTGGTGCCAAGCTGCATTAGATTCACCCAAAGAAACTGAGGCAGGATAAACAATAGAGACTCCTTGAGGGAAGGGTTACCTGGTTTTTCTTTCACTTACTGGAAGATTTGGTGTCCCCATACTTTGATTTTTAAAGAAGCAATTCCAAGCATGCAGCAACTGCAACTAATAGCAATTTCTGAGCAGTCTTCTAAAGCAGGCCCATGTACAAACTATAACAATATATACTAGTTTGTACATGTATAACACCAGAAAGAATAAAGAGGATTGGTGCTTCTATTAGTTTCTCTACAAATGTACAAAGCTCTTGGGAAAGCCTGAGTCCCTACACTTCCCCCAATATCAAGGCTTTCCGCTTTCCAGTAGACCCAAGCATGTCCCTCTCGACCTGTCATATGATCCTCCAATTCCTCTTTCTTGCTCTATCAAATTCCCTTTCAGAAAAATACCGATAACACTATGTAACAAAACTTGAAAGATTTTCTGTTCCTAGTTTGAAAGTGTTATTTCCTGTTTAATTGTATTAGTTAGCAGCAACCACATAGTTAGGCCCCTTGAAGAGCTTTGAAAGTAGTTGTTATACTCCAGAAACGTTGTTTTTTTTGGCTGCCACAAACTATGTTGAATTGGTTGAGACAAGATGAGATATTCATTGAAAAATAATAGCAAAGTATGCTGCAGGATGTCTTATGAAAACAAAAAAAATGCAGTTTAATAAACTTTCCCATGCTTTTATGATAGAACCAAATAGAAAATGACACTTATATCCCAGGAACAACCCCCCCCCCCCCCCCAATGTTTCATAGTGTAATCAGAAAGGAAAGAAAGTTTTTACGCTTGTTTAAGTTTTCCTAATCTTCTACCACAGGGTGGCAGCAAAACATAACTTGAAAAGTGTTATATAGCATTTCTTTTCTTCTTCTTTTTTTAAAAAAGCAGATAACTTCTTCAGAGGGGGGAAATGCATACCCTTCAGTATTTCACAGATGGTCAAAATAGTAATAATTAATGAGGGAAGCTAGGAAAGCTACAGCAAGATTCTCCTACTCCTGTTCTACTCTCCTTTCTGCTGGATTAACTGAATGCAAACTACTTTTACATTCTGAATTCATTTTGCACCAATGGAAATGGAGAAAATGGAGCATTTTAAAGGTGGCCATTCCTTCTTTAGAGGTCTTTAGAAGTTGGTTGACTTTTTTGGAGTGTTTTAGGTTTGCACTCCTTCATTGCAGGGGTCTAGGCAAAATGGTGCTTGTAGTGTCTTCCAGTTCTGTAATTCTGAGACAGGTCTAGGCTGCAAGGAGATTATGACTAGGCTGCAAGGAGATTATGAACAAAAGCATAATTTAGACATTTTTTGTGTGTCAGGAGCAACTTGAGAAACTGCAAGTCGCTTCTGGTGTGAGAGAATTGGCCGCCTGCAAGGGCGTTGCCCAGGGGACGCCTGGATGTTTTAAAAATCCTGTGTGAGGCTTCTCTCATGTCAATAGAAGCTGGAGCTGACAGGGAGCTCACCCCGCTCCCTGGTTTCGAACCATCAACCTTTCGGTCAGCAGACCTACCGGCACAAGGGTTTAACCCACTGCACCACCGGGGGCTCCATTCAAACAAATGAAATGTCAGGAAAGAAGGAGAGGGGATGCCAACTATGTCGGGTGGGTATTCATGGAAATTATATGCAGAGTATATTTTTAATTATAAGCAAGATAGCTTCCAGGAAATGTTCCATTACTTGTGATCCCCATAGAATCTAAGTGATCTAGGGATCATTTAGACTAGTGCTATTCAAAGTGCTGGTCATTGATCGATAGCCTATTAGCTGCCAGTCACTGGAGATTTTCTAGAAAAGAAACAATCACGTACAGCCAATAGACACGTTGGAGTTGTGGGGAACATGCTGTTCCCTGTCTTTGGATAACTTCAACGAAAAAAGCAAAACAAAACACTGATCTAAGGCAATCTCACGTCACCTGTAAGAAATGAACTGCTTAAATACCCTGACCTCTGGTCTAAAGAAAAACTGTTGAGTCGGCCAGTCTCACTTCCAGTGGGATATTGTTACTATTGCTCAGCTGAAAACCCCATCCTTGTAATTTGGACCCAAAAAATAATTTGCTCTGTTACGTATACAACAACTCTTCAAATATTTGGACAGGGCTCTCATATCATATCCCTTAGTACTTCATCAATAGAGAATGGATCCACCTTAAATCTGGTTTCTGCCTTCTGCAGAATTCTGGGGTTTGTAGTTTAGTGAGGCTGTTAAAGGCTCCTCCCTAAACTACAAACCCCAGAATTCTGCAGGAAGCAGCAACCAGATTTAAAGTGGGTTCATTCTCTAGTATGATGAAGTCAATCATGTGTGCTACAGGTTGAGTACATCTGATCCAACCCCTCCAAAGCTTTCCTTGTAAGGCTAAATCTCTTGAATTCCATCCCTGTGACCACTTTTAAGAAGAGGCATAATGGTTTAGATCAGTGGTTCTCAACCTGTGAGTCCCCAGGTGTTTTGACGTACAACTCCCAGAAATCCCAGCCAGTTTACCAGCTGTTAGGATTTTTTGGGAGTTGAAGGCCAAAACATCCGGGGAACCACAGGTTGAGAACCACTGGTTTAGATCAAAGGCATATCTAGCTCGAAATTCTGTTCATAAAATGACTAGTTAATTGCCCAAATGGAAGCTTAGAATCATAGAGTTGGAAGAGGCCACAAGGACCATCTAGTTCAACCTTCTAACATATAAGAATACACCATCAAAACAACTCTCAATACATGGTCATCAACTCTTTGTTTAATAGCCTCCTGAGAAAGAGACTCTGCCACACTCCAAGGCAGTGTGTTCCACTGTCAAATGTTGGCATAATCTCTTTTCATGTCCATTGCTCCATGTCCTATTCTTTAGCGCAGCAGAAAACAAACTTGCCCTCTCATTATGACATCCTTTCAAATATCTAAATATAACTATTTCCACATTTTAACCTTCTCTTCTGCAGACTAAGCATACCCATATCCCTATGCTGTTCCTCATATGGATGATTTCTAGACCTTTTACCATTTTGGTCAACCTCCTCTGGACACATTCCAACTTGTCAAGATCATGCCTTGAACATGAGTGTAGCAGTACTTTCCATCTTATGCTCCCCCAAAATTGATACCTAGAGATCATTTTGTCATTGGTTGTTGTGAGTTTTCCTTGATGTATGGCCATGTTCCAGAAGCATTCTCCCCTGACGTTTCACCTACATCTATGGCAGGTATCCTCAGAAGTTGTGAGGTCTGTTAGAAACTAGGCAAGTTTCCAACAGCATGTCTGGACACAGCATATTATTTGAGAATACAGAAATGCTGAACCATTCTAACAGAGAAGCCATTGAAATCCACATGTGGACAATTTCAACAGAAAGGAAGAAACCATGAAAATGAACAAAATCTGGCTTCCAGCATTTAAAAAAAACTCTAAAATCATAACATTAAATGAAGAACAACACTCAAAAACAGGGAAATTCCAGACAAGAAACAATCAAGGCCAGCTAATCACCTCCCAACAAAGGATTCCCCCAAGCAGTAAGAAGCCAGACCTTGAAATTGCTAGGCCATTAAATGCTAATCAAGGTGGTCAACTTGCAACACTCACACTTGCATCAAACAGACAAAAGTTCTTTCTCCCACCCTGGACATTCCACAGATATATAAACCTCACTTGCCAAGTTTCCAACAGGTCCCTCGACCTCTGAGGATTCCTGCCATAGATGTGGGTGAAATGTCAGGAGATAATGCTTCTGGAACATGGCCATACAGCCCGGAAAACTCACAACAACCCAGTGATTATAGCCATGAAAACTTTCAACAATACATATTGTCATTAGTCCTGGAGGTGGTTTCCACATTGTATATCTTTTTTATTGTGATGCATGCATTATCTGAGTTAATAATGCAGTATGATACTTCTTCTTTCTAGGATTTCATTGCAATCTCTTTCATGGAGGCTGACTCAAAAGCACGGACTCTGGCCTACCGGACTGACTCAACAACTCACCAGCTGAGCCAGCAGTGTGCTGAGAAGTTTGAAGTCTCAGAAGCTCAGGACTATGGTTTGTTTATTCAAGTGGACGACAAGATCATGCGGCTTGACGATGATGCCCTTCCCCATCACATCAAATCCCACCTGTTGAACAAGGAGCCCAAGCCAACTTTCTACTTTATTTATAAGCCAATGGGCAGTGAAGAGACAGCGGTCCCTGTTATCAAGGACCCAGAGGCTTTATAATCGCAAAACAGCTCTTACATCAACTTGTTTCTAAGGACTGTGATGTTCCTCCTTTCAAAGTATGCTGATCTCCACCAAGTAGCAGAAGCAGCCTGAAGCACAGCTTCCTGAATGGCTGGTGGTGGAGACAGCATTTGTGATTGTCCATCAGGGAAATTTCTTGGTTGAATCCATTTGCATCTGTAAAAAATGATTTCATCCAAAGTTCACTCTTGCAGAAACTTGAAGAATTTAGAACCTCATACCATGAGCAAATGATGTAGCCTTGAATGCCAGCTGCACTAAGTTGGTAGACTTGAGGTTATGGGCATTATGGCAATATCTTCTTAAGCCATGGGGCATCAAGCCTACAGTGTTATCAGAGACAGCCCCAAATATTTGGGGGCCTGAGGTAGAAAATCCAAATAGACTTTCTAGCAGCAGCACAGAAAAAATGTGATACATTTAGCAATTAGCAATGCTTTTGACAAACTCTGACATTGCCTTTCTTTCACGATATCATTTCCCAATGATAAAACTGACTCTGAATATCACATCTAGCCTGAGGTCTCTTGCTGCCTGAGATGGAGCAACAAAACAGCATCCTGCATTCAACTAAGTCAGAGTGCCCAAACGTACCCAATTATTTTGGCAAAAGAGGCAGAAAACTCTGCAAGTTCTCCTCCACATCTCTGGTAGTAAAAGGACAAATTAACAAGTAATTAACATGACCTTTCATAAAATCAAATGCTTGCTGTCTGAATATAACTCCCAGTGGCTCAGTAGGTTAAGCCACTGAGCTGCTGAAATTGCTGACTGAAAGGTTGCAGGTTCGAATCAGGGAAGTGATGTGAGCTCCCACTGTTAGGCCCAGCTTATGCCAGCCTAGCTGTTCAAAACATGCACATGTGAGTAGATCAATAGGTACCGCTCTGGCGGGAAGATAACAGTGCTCCATGCAGTCACATGACCTTGAAGGTGTCTACGGACAGTGCCGGCTCTTCAGGTTAGAATATGTAATCACAGAGAAGGCCCTCTCCAGCGTCCTCAACAAAAGTGGTGACCTGCCTTCAGTTCTACCAATAGAAAGGAACTAGATTGGTATTTAAATCATTCATATTGGTAGTGGGGGAGCAGGATAGCTTTGTGTGTACATGAGTGGGACACAGAGCTCTTGTCTTGGAGCTAAGAGAAAGAATGGGGAAGGGCTACTGCTGTTCCATACAACTCAATACCTACTGCCTGAAATTATCACCACACTCTGCCTTTATGCCATATAGACAGTCAAAAATGATCAAAATTCTATTGGGGAACTGAACCTATGGAAGAAATGTCTTCTGTGTGATGCAGCATGTAGTTATTCAGTCAAATTGCACATATCCTTGTGTTGTTCACTCTCAGACTGTTTAACCTCGTGTCAGTCTTTACAACTCTGTGCTGGCACAAAACCAAAGGAAAGTCTGGACTTGTGAAGCTAAAAGTTTTGTACTTTGTACTACTCTGCACATAATGAGGTATACAGTGAATACCTTTAAGCACACAATGCATAGTGTCAGGTGATAAAGCCAGTCCCCGTCGATTAACAAGGTGAAGGTAGGTATGTGTCATACTGCCTCTACCAGCTTCTTTTTGAGCAGAGAAACATTTCGTATAATTGAGGTTTTGTTGCTTGCTGGCTTAGATATGGTGCCAATGACACCAAGAAACTAACAAAGTTTGTTGGCCAGGGTGAGAACAGGGAAGAGACTCAATTTGTGAGGTGATACCCTTTCAAGTATTAAGATAGGGTCATATTAAAAACTCAGCTGTCACATTGCTATACTGGTGAATTTAAGCTAAAGCTATTTTAGGAACAGAATACTCAGTTTACTTTAGGGAATGGGATTAGCCCAAGGCATTTTCTTGCTTGTGGTGAAAGGGATATCATCCCAAATCCATCTACAAAAGCTGGCCTGAATCTCCACCTCAGCTCAGGGCAGCAGTCTACCTTCCAGTGTGAAGTGCAGCTTTTAGGGTAAGAAGACAACTCTGTTTCTTACCACAGCTCAGCACTTGCTACCTGAGTCAACAGTCTTTCTGTTCCCTGCGTTCGGCCAGGTCTGCTTTTTCAGTTGCTCCAAGTCAAACCAGATGTTCTTTCTGGTGGACAAGATACAAGGATTTTTGGAGACCTTGGAATCAAGCAGTTATTTAGCCAGTTGGCAGTTATGTTGGACTGATTTAACCATCTCTCCACATTAAGTACTCTTTCTTGCTGAAAATGTAGTTCTTGTTTTCCATTTGATGTTTATTGATATGCTGTCTCTCTATAGAACCATTTCATCAAATCTGTGCTGCAAAAGTGTATTTCAAAATATATTTATTACACTGTGATGTACTGTGTATTTGAATTTTAATTCCATGCCTCATTTATGGAGGCAGTATAGACAAAACTTTTGGAAGGCCCAAGTGCTGTAGTAGCTTCAGTTTGGTTCTCTGAAGTAGATCAAATAAAATAATTTTAAGGTCACTGGATGGCCTTTTACCAAAGATCTTTCCTTGTGTATTAAGCACTTTGAAATTATTCCTCTACCTTTGTTGGCAGTATTGGTATTTTGAAATGGCATTGTGTTGTGAGGTTTATGATTTCTATTGTGTTTTGAACTTAAGTTTTGGACTTCAATTCCCACAATTCTTAACAGCTGTTAAGCTGGCTGAGATTTCTGGGAGCTGAAGTCTTAAACATCTGGAGGAGCACAGTTTGAGAAACTCTGATTTAGAGCCATGCTGTTGTTTCCAGTTATTGACAAAAGTATGGTAGCTGGGACCCAATGCTGGTTATGCGATGCAGGTCACAATTACATTCGCGCAGCAAGTGAGAGACGCTGGTGTATGCTATAAACTTAACTATTGGTAACTGCCATTTTTTTTTAGCATTCTTCACTTTCACTCAAATTTAATTACATGTGGATGAAGTGTGCTATAAACCCAACGCTGTCTCATGCATGTCTTTGCTTCTCTTATTCTGACCCGTGTTGCGCAACCAGCATTGGGTCCAAGCTATCATACTTTTACCCAGTTATCTCCTTACATTCAGAATATCAGCTTTGTCTCTTTAAAATCCCCTATCTGACCTTGGAGCTCTGTGATTTCATCATTCAGAGTTTTTCCCTCTACTCAAGCAGATTGCAGCTATGTCACACACATTGTGTTCATCATTGTGGCTGATTTGTGTGTTGATAAACCTCTCCATCCTTAGCTGGGCTGGTCTTCACATGACAGGCCATACTTGATGCTATGGCATTTGCAATCTTGGCTACCCAAAGACTTTGTAGAGCTTGACAGAGCTTGCAGTCTGCTAGAATAGCCTGTAAGCACTGAACACCATTTCCACACCACAACTGAGCAATCAGACAAGACTCCTTAAGGCTTACCAGTTCCTGAACTGTCCTTATAATCAATAATTCCCTGAAAAAATGAAGGTATAAAAAATCTCATACATCAGACCAAATTCTCTAATTATTTCAAGCACTGTAATTTGCACAATGGCCAACCAACTGCCTTTGGAAAGCTCACAAGTTGGGCAGGCTTCTCCCATGGTTCCTTCCCTAAGAAGCATATTTACTCTGAAGTTCAGAGATTATCTGCAGACATGCTGATTACTTGCCATTGATAACTTCTTCTCTGTCAGTTTCCTCTTATATCAAATTGTCTCACCTCCAATGAAAGTCAACTAAAACCTTGACATTTGGGATTTGTAGTTAATGAGATTTATAGTTCACCTACAATCAAAGAGCATTCTGAACCCCACGAACGACAGAATCGTGGCAAACTTCCCACACAGAACCCCCATGACCAACAGAAAATACTTAAGGCCACCCAGTCCAACTTGTTGCGGTTTGTTAGTTTATATTGAATCTACACAGCAGTCCTTCCAGCTCCAGATCCCAAGTTGATTTGCACAGAGTATAAAGGAAAATGTCTTTACTCTTGAGTAGTCAGCACATGTATTTTATAAAGGAAAAATACAGTAGCCTTGACAAACACATTGTCCATTGCAGAAGAAAACAAACTTACAAAACAATACATTAATCTGCTTCTTTCCAGCAAACCTTGTAGCATAGTTCCATCTCTGATTACTTCATTTCACCCACTACCTGCATCAAGAAAACCTCACCTGATATACATCCTAATCAGGGAGTGGTTCTTCCTCAACACACACATATAAGCAAGAGATGATTCTTGTCAAGACTTACAAAATCATATACTGTAACACAACTCTCTTCACCAGGGCAAGAAAACGTAATCAGAGCCCTCCTGACAAAGAGCCATCCAGTCATAAGTACAGATAGATAGATATTATTCTCTCTCACACACACAGATATAGTATCATAGATTTTAAAGAGACCCTTAAAGAAGGACTATGATATGTTGCATATTCCAGAGTAGGCAAACCAGACACTCTCCACATCAACACTGACAAAGAAACAACAAGAAATACTGTTTACCCACAAGCATAAAGGAATTACATATATTAGAAACCAACACTTTCTCATTACTTTATTTTCCAGATCATCAGACTGGGCCACAGCAACGCGTGGCAGGGGACAGCTAGTTAGTAATAGATTGAAAAAGAAGGATATAAGAAAAAATATATGTGAGGTGATAGTGTTCCAAACCAACAAAAGCCACACATTTTACTGGATATTATATTAGGTTATACTTCTTCCCTCACCAAAGGGAACTGAATCCAAGTCACCACATCTCTCTTTTGCCAAGCTGAGAACATTCCATCTCAGGACATCTTCCTCTATGTGGTTTTCTAGACACAGCATCCATGGCATTAAAACATTAGTTGTAGAGTTGTCTTATTCACAGGATTTTACACTGAACTTCAAACCTCTGGATGACTCTTCCAGTAGTTTCATGTTGATATTTAACAACATGCAAATGTGTGTAGATCAATAGGTACTGCTTCAGCAAGAAGGTAACAGCGCTGCATGCAATCATGCTGGCCACATGACCTTGGAGGCATCTATGGACAATACTGGCTCTTTGGGTTAGAAATGCAGATGAGCACCACCCTCAGAGTCGGACAAGACTAGACTTAATCTCAAGGGGAAACTTTTTATATTTATCTTAAACTGAATTGGGAAAAATCTGGAATGACAATGATGGTAATGCCTTTAAAGCTCTTTTTGAAAAACCAAATTAGTGATTACCTATGGTTACTCTCTTGAATGGCAGAACTGGGAAACTATAAGAGAAACATTTAAATTACACTTAAATTGCTTCATTATGTAACATTTCTGGTTTATTATATAATTTTAATTTATCTTTGTGCATCTATACTTTAGAATTAATGCAGTTTGAATCTACTGTGCTGTGTCAGAGAAGGCTAAACAAGATGCAAAACTACAATCCCCATGATTTCATAGAATTGAGCATGACAGTTAAAGTGGGGCCAAGCTGCACTAATTCTGCCTTGTAGATGCATTCTTAGTTGTTGAAAAAATTAATTACAAGTAGTTGCAAGTAGCATGATTTCCCTGGAACTAGACACTATACTCCTATTTGGTCTGCAAAAATATAAGTATAGTGTCTAGATCTAGGGAAGCTACCCCGCTATTCTGCCTTGGTCAGACCACACCTGGAAGATTATGTCCAATTCTGGGCACCGTAGTTGAAGATGTTGACAAGCTGGAATGTGCCCAGAGAAGAGAAACTAAAATGATCAAGGGTGTGGAGAACAAGCCCTATGAGGAGCGGCTTAAAGAGCTGGGCATGTTTAGTCTGCAGAAGAGAAGGCGGAGAGGAGACATGATGGCAATGTATAAATATGTGAGGGGAAGTTATAGTGAGGATCATAGAATCACAGAGTTGGAAGAGACCTCATGGGCCATGCAGTCCAACCCCCTGCCAAGAAGCAGGAAAGCTGCATTCAAAGCAACCCTGAGGGAGCAAGCTTTTTTTTTTTTTTGCTGCCCTGGAAACTAGGACGCAGAACTATGGCTTCAAACCACAGGAAAGGAGATTCCACCTGAACATTAGGAAGAACTTCCTGACTCTGAGAACTGTTCAGCAGTGGAACTCTCTGCCCCAGAGTGTGGTGGAAGCTCCTTCTTTGGAGGCTTTTAAACAGAGGCTGGATGGCCATCTCTCGGGGGTGCTTTGAATGTGTTTTTCCTGCTTCTTAGCAGGGGGTTGGACTGCATGGCCCACAAGTCTCTTCCTACTCTATGATTCTAACTCCTTATTGGCAACTAGTTAGTTGAAATGGGGAATAGAGGTCTTGTGAACTATCTGCGATGGCAGCTTTTTCCCAGCTGGTCCTCTCGGTTGTCTTTGTTACAACTAAAGCACTGGGGTGGCAGGCTGGTGGTGGTGTTTGTGATGACCCATTGCTGTCATGTGAAGAGTGGGTGACTCATTTGAGTCATGTGGCTCAGGAGGTTTACATGACTTTCTTCAACCGGCTGGGCAACATTTATTCTGCTTCTGGGAACTTTGCCCTCTGAATGGGTCACCTTGCACAATCGAAACAGACATGTGTTTCCTTGCAAACTCTTCATTCTGTTAGGAACATGGAGCAATTTCCCCCCAGAAGAACAGCTAATTGCTGAGTGCACAGATTCCATGTGAGAAAGACGAAAACACATTTTGTTAGCTCATTAACCAATCTGATCCTGCACAAAAGCATTTTGGTTATTTTTACAGGTCTCATGTAATATTGATGTAACCCCTGGAGCACCTGATGAACTAACCTGGGCACAGGATATTATCTGAGAACACAGAAATGCTGGACCACTCTAACAACTACCATGTCAGACTACACAAAGAAGCCACTGAAATCCACAAGCATGTTGACAATTTCCACAGAAAGGAGGAAACCATGAAAATGAACAAAATATGGATACTAGTATTTAACAAAAATTTTAAAATCAGGACAGTAAATAAAGAGCAGCACCCTAAAAGCAGGAAAATTCCAGACAAGAATCAATCAGGGCCAATATGCTGAAGACAGTCTAACCCAGTTGATTTGCTTATAATTGATACAATGGATGAGGGAGACTTGGAAAACAACTTGTACCCATGCACAAGTGTAAAGCAGCTTTTCTCAACCTGGGGGTCAGGACCCCAGAGGGGGTTGCGAGGGAGTGTCACCAAAGACCATCAGAAAACACAGTATTTTCTGTTCGTCATGGGACTTGTGTGTGGAAACTTTGGCCCCATATTATTTTTGGTGGAGTTCTGAATGATCTTTGATTTTAGGTGAACTATAAATCCCAGCAACTACAACTCCCAAATGACAAAATTAATCCCCCCACAACCTCACCAGTATTCAGATTTGGGCATATCGGGTATTTGTGCCAAATTTGGTCCAGTGAATGAAAATACATCCTGCATATCAGATGTTTACATTGTGATTCATAACAGTAGCAAAATTACATTTATGAAGTAGCAACGAAAATAATTCCATGGTTGGGGGTCACCACCACATGAGGAACTGTATTAAGGGGTCTCAGCCTTTGGAAGGTTAAGAAACAGGT